AAAAAATCACTCAAGCCTAAGGTTTCAATAAAATGCTGAAAACTTCTCCATAAGGAATCGTCAAGTGAATTGGCATATTTACGGGCACAATAGACGTCTTGCTTACGCCTGATCGCCAAGGCCAGTACGCCAAGGACAAGATTGCTTGTTTTTCCTAGAGCGCGTGCGGAACAAAAATAATTATAGGTTTTTAATTGAGTAAAGTCCTCACGGAAACGAGGAAGCATGGCTTCTTCTAACCTCAGAGCGATTTCAAGACATTGTTGTTCGAGCTTCTGTTTTTGCGGAACTTGGGAGATGGTCTGTGGCATAGGGGATCCTTTTTTTTAAGATGGATCTTTAGTGTACGACAGAACAGCGTTTTTGAAGAAAAAAAACACCCCGGGGAGGGGTGTTTTTTGTGGGAAATGGAATCTTTTTTATTTACCAACGTGGAGCACGGAGGAATTCGAGTTCACGAGCTGTTTCGTGGGTGACATCGGCACAGTCAAGAGCTGAATCAGAATCAGTGACGTCCTTGCCTGTGAGGAGCTTGTGGAATACCTTATAGGCTTGAAAACGATTAGAGGCTAGAGGATCAGCGCTTGCTTGTCTTCCACCGCACTCAAGGCCTCCGTTGATGAGGAAAGTTGTATAGGCGAAATCACGCTTCTGACCCTTGTCGTTGCGAGGATGAACAAGATAGTCCATCAAGCCTGTAGGGATCGTCGGATCTGAGGCATATTTTTGGTAGGTTGAAAAGAACCAGAGTGCTGTGGCAAAAGCGAGTTCCGGATCGCGTGAGATCATATCAGGATCCCGCCAGATACGGTCGTCTCCATAGATATAGTTCGAGAAGCGCTTATAGTTGGCACCGTTGGCTCCTGGCCAGTCAGTCAGCTGGATCACACCACGACCTTGAAGGCGATCTGTACCATTTCCTGAGACTTCGTAGTTTTCACAGGCGCCACACTCTTCTTCGATAAAGCAGAGTCCACCGAAGAACTTGGCGGGTTCATCATCGTAGGGAGGGGTGGTATCAACGCCTGTACCGGTTGTTTCCTTTTGCATTTGGGCAAAGACGGCTGCGAGAACACGTAATTTGTCTTCACGGCTCGTGATACCATCAAAGAACGTAGGGAACCATTTTTCCTGAGCCTGGATCAATGCTTGGTAGCTGTAGAACTGATTGTTTCCTGTACAAAGGCTTCCGTCGGGACCGCAGCGGCATGAATTATGTCCGAGGCCGGCGTTAGGGGTTTGACCGCCTGGGTAGGCGACAGGGAAGATTTCCTTAAACTGGTCTTCACTCAGAACGTCAGCAATATTTGATCCACTACCGTCGGGACCTGGAGGAGGGTTTCCGCCGCCGTTATCGTTATTATTTGAAGGAGAACCACCCAGTCCGCATGCGACAAAGAACAGAGCAGCCAGAAGAGCGGTGGGCAGATATTTCGGATAATTTTTCATAAGAACCTCTTTTATTTAGTTAGAATTCTTTTCTAGCGTAAGCTTCGCCCCGGATTATAAAAAATTTTTGCTCTTTATGCAAGTAATTTGATTTAGTTAAAGGCGATATTTATTTAAATAAATCTTTAACCTAATTTAAAATACTTCTTGTTTAACGCCTCTATTTGAGATATAATTTATTATAGAATCTAAAACTTTTTTATATTTTATTCATTTCATGATGAAGCATATTGAAGGATTATATGAATGAAAGGCGAGTTTATGGATAACAATAAAAAAATGATCACTGCAAATAATGATGTCAGATAAGAGGAAAGGTATATGAAAACAAGGAAAGAATCAAATATCAAATCAGCCAGAAGAGTCTGGGTGTTTGGCTTGGCATTAGCTTATCGTTCTGAGATGGAAGAGGAACGTGCTTTTCGTAAACTTCTCGAAGAGCATGGCTTTTTTCAATACAAATCACGTTTTGCGAGCCAGTTATTTCAACTAACTGAAGCTCTGGGACGTTATGAATTCGTCGGCGATGTAGCACGTTGGAATAAACGGCTTAATTCCTTCTTTATTAAGCATACGAAAATTTATTTTAGTGCTATTGAAGCCTGGGAAAATGCTGAAAAGGCGTATGGTAAAAAAGCGCCTCTTCATTTTCCGGACTTCTATAAGATTCAACGTCTCTCTGAAATTAGCGAACGTTATCGGCTTCATATTTCGTCCAAAGTCAACGACACGAGCCATGACAAAGATGAAGAAAAAGATAAAGAAGATGAATAAAAAGCGAAAAATCAGAGATTCTTGATGATTTTTCTTACCGAAGAAGTCGAGTTACACAGAGGGTGAAGTTTAGCCCTCTTGTGGAGGGCTTTTTCATTCTAGACTTAGAAGTTTTCTTCATCTTCTCTATCGAATTCCTCCAAGTAGGCACCGGCTGGAACATTAATCTTGGGGGGTTCTAAGGGACGTTGTGGTCTACGAAGGATTCGACCTACACGCTCTTCTCTCTGAGTTATGGAGGACGCACGTCGTGACTCTTGACGTTCTTGGAGTCTAGACTCTCTGGCTTGTGGTTCAGCAGATCTTGGTTCTTGACGGGAGTTTTGTCCTAAGTTCACGGATCGTGGGGCTTTGGAATTTTGGCGATTTGATACTTGATTCTCTTCGTCTACGAGGGGACTTTGGTAAAGTTCTACGACAAAAGAACGACGCCCAGGAGTGGAGTCTTGACGACTTGAGCTTTGGCTTTGTGGGGCTGGACGCTGTGGGAGACTCTCTTGGTTTTCCCAAGGGGTTTGGCAAGGCAGGGGACCGTTGGATCCATCTTGGGCTTGGCTGTTTTGGTGAGGTCTTTGACGACGATTTTCATTACGACGTGCCGCATTGCGTTCTTGATTTTGGCGCATGAGTTCCTGGCACTGATCATCTTGATCACAGAGTCGCTGCATTTCTTGCCACATGATACGCCTTGCTCGGACGTCGTCGTCGTTTCTTGACATTTGGGCAAACAAGGACAGGGGTACGAAAAAAAGAACCCCCAACATACTTCGTAAAAAAAATCGGTTTGAGAGTTGCATAAAATCCCTCCCTCTCTGTTTTGTTCTTGATGAGGCTTAACTCAAAACGCAAACTTAGTGTGGCTCGCTAAGTCGTTTTTGTCAAGGGGGATTTCTGCAAAGGAAGGTTTGAAGAGAGCTCAGAGCTTCGAAGAAGCCTTGCTCCACGAAGAGCCAATTCTTCTTGTCGCTCCTTGCTTTGTGATAAACCTGCGCAAGCGTCCTCGAGGATAAAGCATGAATAAGAAAGGTTGATCGCATCCGAGACACTTGAATAGACGCAGTAGTCTGTGGCAAGTCCTGCGAAAAACAGTCGGTATTCTTGTGGAGGAAAAAGTCGTTGGAAGAAAGAGTCCGTATGGTGGGTTTTTTGGGGTCCTGCTTCAAAGATTGAATAGGCTTCTCGCTCGATGTCAAGTCCTTTGTGAATAATCAGATCTAAAGGCCATGCTTCCACACGAGGATGAAGACGGACTCCTTGTGTACCCAGAAGGCAATGATCAGGCCAGAGGTCCATTCCAGAGGGAGGGTTCTCGTAGCGTGAGGCCAGTGAAATGTGACCAGGAAGATGTACGTCCATGGAGGCAATACGCCATGAAAAAAGAGGCAAGACTCGTTGTAGAGGGTCTAGAATCTCTAAAGCCCCATCAATACCGAGGGCTCCTCCTGGGAAAAAGTCCACTTGAAGATCGATGAGTACGAGTACATCATTGGACTCGATTGGAAAGGGCTTGGCTAGAGGATTCATAACTTATTCTCCTATAGATTCTTAGCTAAGGACTGCTTTGATTTTGTCCAGATAAAATTATAGTAATGATTGTTTATCCAGAAAACAAGTCAAAGGAGGGTCCAGGAATGGATCATCAAAAAATTACGTTCCGTAACAGTATGCGCAAAGGGTTCTTTGTGGGTCTTTTTTTTCTCTTTTTTTTACTGATTGTTCTTGTCATGGCGTTATTCGATGAGCGAGTGAGTGCTGAAAAAGTGAGTATTCTTCAAAATGTGATTATTTTCTTTGCTCCAAGTGTTTTTGGAGCTAAGGCTGTTCAAAAATTTGCGGAACAGAAAGCCCAAAACACAGTATCTTTTCATCGAGGAGGAGGAACGAAGCATGCTTTATCAGACAGAGTTGAATAATCCTGTTTTACGTAAGTACGGCTGTTATTTTGTGAGTTTATTCAACGCTCTTGAACTTCACAGAGGGAAATTCACTCAGAAAGAAGTCATCGAAGATCTCTTTGAGGACTATCAATTACGCGGATGGATTGATGCTGATGCTACTGTTCTTGATCCTGCGGCGATTTTGAGTGATCAGAGTCGAGAAAAGATTGGGATGTATAGTCAAGATGCTCAATATCACATTCCCTTTTTGTCTCTGAGGCCCTTACCGGAAGATTCCTGGGTTATTCTGCGTTTTCGGGACTCTGGGCGACCTCTTGGCTTGCGGAGTCATTTTGTCCTTGGGGAAGCACGCTCTCTTCGTGTGGTCTGGGATCCTATTGAGGGTGGCTCGCAGACTGTGAAGAATGGTCAGCTTATGGATCTTCGTGTTTTTCTTCCTCTTGGAGCTTGAAGATGAAGGCGTTTTTTTTATGGATATGGGGTTTACTATGGTCCTTTTTGAGTCTTTTTGTGGTTTTTTTCTGGTCTGGACTTCGGTTTCGAGAGAAAGAAGTTCAACGAGAGAAAGAGAAACTCCATCGCCAACGCAGGAGAACTTCCCAAGTTCTGGCTCAAAGAGAACACATTCAAGGAATGGAACTCAATGAAAAAATTCAACGTTTTCGAAAGAAATCTTAAACGAAGTCTTCTTTTGCTTACTCTAGCGCTGAATTTTTCGTGTATGAGTGTTCATTCTCCTGAAGAGGTTTTTCTTCCTCCACGGCCGGAGCTTGAAGATGTGCCTGTTGAGGGAAGTCCTGGTCGTGAGGAGATTCTTGAAAAAAACTTTCATCGTTTACTGGATTGGGCCTTAATGGTTTTCTTGCTCTATGGGGACGATTATTGATCATGAGGATTTTCCAAGGCTTCGATAAGGATCTTTTCGATCGTGGAGAGTTGACGTTTTCGTGCATGATCCAGGGCATGAAGGCCGTTTTTGTCCGTGATGTTGATATCAGCATTGGCCTCGAGGAGCATTTTGACAATGGTCCAATAGGGTTCACGGTCTTCGCCGAGGATGGTGATTTCAAGAAGGCAGGTCCAACCGAGTCGGTTGACGTGGTTGACATCGACGCCAGCGCGCAGCAGAAGTTCGACATTCCGAGGATGACCTTTTTCGCAGGCTGGAATGAGGGCGGTTCCTCCGTAACGATTGAGGCTTTTTAGATCAGCACCGTATTCAAGACTGAGCTTGAGGATTTCGTAACGTCCTTCGGCTCCAGCGACAAGGTAAGGACTATCATAGATTTTGTCTTGAGCATTGACATCGGCACCAGCTTGCATGAGCATCTGTGCGATTTCGACATGATTTTTCCAGGTGGCAAGCAGAAGAGCGCTACGTCCTTGGGAATCTTTGGTATCGATGTCAAGCAGGTTTCCGCTGATAAGGCGACGGACACGGTCACTATGACCTTCTTCGGCGGCACGCAGAAGAGCACGATTATTTTCAAGTCGTAAATCTGTTTGTGCATTCATCTTGAAACCTCCTAAGACAGGCATCCATACGAAGAGCCAGAAGAGAAAAACAAGTCTGAAGAAGGGTCTATATGCACGTGAAAAAGACATTTAGGAAGTTTCCTCGGGTTTATTCACAGACTCTCGGCGTTCTTGAAGAAGTTCCTGTGGGCTGATTTCGTTTTCAAGGGACTCAGGGCTATAGATAGCGAGCAAGGCAAGGATATAGTCAAAAAGAGCTTCAAAACTATAAACAGTTAGATATTGACTAAACTCTTCTGCAATGAGTGTATAGCTTTCCTCATAGCCTTTGGCTCCAAGATCACTTAAAGGATCCGCGACATCCCAAAGGGCTTTGGCTTGTGCGAGATGGATCAAAAGGTCCTTCATCCGTGACTCGATAAAGACCAACTGGACGAAGGCATCATTGAGCAATGTTAAAGATTCCTCATCGAGTCCTTCGAGAAGGCGCTCGTGGACGCTGAGTCGTAGAGGATTAAGGCTACGCTCTTCGAGGGCGGTAATCCAGGCTGTCAGGACGATTGTATCCGATCCGAAGAAAATCTCTTCGTCCTGCATGGCCAGCGCTGGATCAAAGTTTCGATAAAGGCTTTCCATCATGACGTGCCAAGAGACACTCTCGTCGAAGAAGATGTCGAGTTCTTCTCCGATCGAAGACTCGAGCTGCGGATAGTAAGCACTTAAGCGTTCTTTTGAAGAAGAAAAAAATCCTCCGAAGAAGCCACAAGACCCCAAGAGAGAAAATAAAAATACCAGGAGGGCAAACCAAGAATATCGCATGAGAACTTACCTCGAAAATTTAGTCAAACTTCCCATAAGACTAGTGTTTTTTGGAGGAAAAAACAAGCTTGAGAAACTTTTTGCGTTTTTTAGCGATGATGTCTGCAATGCGATCAACAATCTTTTGGAAAATTGTTGTATTCCGTGTTGTTTGGAAAGTTGTCACATTCTGTTCTGTTTGGAAAGCTGTACCATAATGATACGCATAAGCGTCCGTAGACAAGCTCGGACTGATTTGGACAAGGTAACCACGTCTAAAGGCAGCGTATGAGAAAAGACGTTCGATGGCGTGAAGATTGCATAAAGGCGGAAGAGGTTCTTTGGGGAAATCTTGGTAGCTTAAGTTGAGGTCGAAAAGATTTTTTAGAGCGTCGCAACGAGCCCAAAACATACTTCCTGCTGGAAAAAGAATGGGAGGACGAGTCACATAATTCAGCTGTGTCTCTTTGTCAAAAGCGAAGTCTTTGTCGTCAAAGAGTGTTCTCTGTGGATCATAGGTATGGATAAAATCCTCCATGATTTTTTTCATTTCTTGATCGTAGAGAGAGAAGATTCTATCATAGGGTAGCGTTGATAAGACAATGCCAAGACGTTCGTTGGTTTGAAAAGACTCGATGATCTCATCAAATTCGACAAGGAGTTCATGATAGTTCCCGTGGCTCCAGCGGTCGCGGAGGAGTCCTTCGCGAAGAAGCCGTTTATCTGATGAGATCTTGCGGTTCTCCGTTCTTGAAAAGCCATGCTTGAGATGGAAGTGTCCGATGATGTCGTAACGTTCTCTTATATCTTTGAGCTCAACAAGAAAAGGACCTATATCACGTCCACGATTCGTTGGCGTGGTGCGGATCTCTAAGGATCTCATCGCTTTGATCTTTTGATGGCGGAAATAATCTTCGAGAGCTTTGCGTAAGTTTTCTTCGCAGATCGTTATGTAGAAGTCCATAGGATGATGAAGCGTGTGCAACGAGGGGGTAATCAGATAGAGATGGTCCGCATTAAAGACGTGAAGATGTAGAGCGATCCGCAGGGCTTGTGACGTTGAGCGTGGATAGAGTTTGGCAAGATTTTGTGCTTTGAAAATCAACGAGAAAGCGGTAAGACCCAAGACTTCGCGTAGGTTTTCGACGAGAAGGTTCCAATCGTAGGTGTAGTGGGCAAATAGCGGATGACTTCGATCACAAAGTAATGGGAGTAGATAAGCAAATATTTGAGGCTGTTCTTCAAAGAAACTTTGACGGATAAAGCTGAGTTTTCCACGGAGAGCTTGCTCGCTTACGTCGAGTGGATGATAAATAGGCTCGTAAAGACTTTGAAGACTGAAATGATGTGTATAGAGCCAATTCGAGAAGGCCTCTTCGAGAGGAACATGCTCACTCTTGCAGAGAAGAGGAATCTCTCTGGCTGAGGGGATCTTTTTGCTTAGTCTCTGCCAGAAAGGAAAAAAATCAGGATCTTGATAAACACGATGGCGTAGAAGAATCAAATCATGCAACGCAAAAAATGATTTTATTGTTTTTTCTTTTTCCCACATAAGGCGAATATCATTGGCTTGCATCCAAAGACATGAAACATCCGCTGTGTGCGTTTCGATACGGGCAAAGATCTCTTCGATAGGATCAAAAGGTCCATAAAGACTATCTCTCATCAGCACTACGTCATCAGTTTGCTCAAGAAGACCTCGTTGATGGAGGTTCATCAGAGCTTTTCCGTAGGAATTCATTCCGAAAGGCTCTGAGCTTGAATGAAATTCTTCAACGAAGGACTCGATTTTACTTTTTTCCTCGGCACGCAAATCGTGTGCGTGGTAAAAATGGATGGAACTGATTTTGGCGAGTTCTTGAAGTTGAAAGACGATAAACTCAGGGAGAGATGTTCGTTGTTTTTGATAAAAAAAACAGAGGATTCTTTTTTTCATCGGGAATGGCTCCTATTTGCCAAAAAATTCTTCAGAGTATAAAAGATAGAGCGTAGTTTTAACCATAGTGCGAGAGGCAGTTTGTCCAAGAGAGTGATCAAGCGAGTTCTCAAAGACAATGGGATCCCTAAATCGATCAACTTTAAATTTGATGGGATATTTCCTCGTACGAGGAAGCCTTGGCTGCTGATTAAGTAAGGCAAGAGAAGGCTAAGAGGATCAATGGGCATTTCTGCAAGCCAGAGTGGGGATTGGGTTGTCCTCGAGGCTAGTCCCGAAAGCGTGGGAGCGAAGTTGTTTGTTGCATCCAATGAGATTTCGAAAAAATTTTTCAGCAACGCTGATCGTGCAAAAAAGATCCCCTCGGCAGGGAAAAAAATAGCAGAATTTTTCCAATCTTCCCTTGACTTGATTTCTTCGAGGATTCCCAATTTTTCAGCAAGAGAAAAGAGGGATGCTTTTGAGGATGAACTTCTCGGAAAAGGCGATAGGGTTTCTCTATACTGCGTCGTGTAGAGTCCAAGATGAGGATCATTCATCAAATCCTGTACTCGTTGATCACGTTCAAGAAGAAAACTTTCAAAGAGCTGCCAGAGACGGTGTTCATACTCAAGAGAGAAGCCCTCAATACAGAGGATGTCTTTTTCGGGATCAATGATACTCAAAGGGGAGAGAAATTCAAAATGGAAATGTCCAAGAAGCTCATAGTGTGTGTAATGTTCTTTGAGGCTTTCATAGAAGGTTCTTAGGGGTCTGCTTGCTTGATTTGGATCAAAGGGACAAAAGTAAAGCTTCCGAAGAGATCGCAGAGGATGAAGCTCAAGAGCCTGTTGGAATTCGTCCTCATGGAGACTCTTGGGATAGCTTAGGTAAAGATCAAAGTTCGTATGGTTTGAGCCTTGTACTTGAAGAAAAAGAAGAAAATCTTCGACGGTGCGTAAATGCAGATGAAGAGCGAGATGATCAAGCAAGGAGGAGGGTTTTTTGTTTTCTGTATTTTTCAGAAAAGGTAAGAAGATGCCAGACTGGTGAAATTCGCAGACTAAGGATGCAAGGGAGAAGGTCTGTTCAAGGTCCTCGATAATCAGCGAGAAGTCGTAATGGATTTTTTTGAGCCCATGACCTTCTTTGATCAAAAAAGAAAGAAGTGGGAAGTTTTTTTGATGCGTGAAGGCCTTTCTCTTGATGAAAGGGTTTTCTTCAAGAACCGTTTTTGTCGAATAGAAGTAGGATTCCTCAAAGGGCTTGCAGAGGGAAGAAAGGGTAAATCCGGCAATCTGTAGAGTATGGCTTAAGGATATTTCTCCTGCATCGATGGCGTTTTTGAAATTTCTCAACGGGGGCAAATTTTCCCAGAAGCTCCAAAAGACAGGGCTGAGGAGGACGTTTTTCTTCATCACGATGAAATAGGACTGAAGATGAAGTGGTGTAAAGAAAATTCCTTGCTTGATCATTTGGAGATAGTCTGCTTCTTTCATATACTTTTTGATGACTTGTTGAGGGATTTTTTTTGAAGATGTCTTGATGAAACTCGTTATACCCCAGAAGTCACAGTGACGAGTCTCCATTTCCTTCCAGATTTCGTGCATTGGTCTAAAAGGACCATAACAGCTATCGTTGATCAGAACGAGTTCGTCAAAGCTTTGAACTTTTTCTTTGCCGGCAATTTGGAGCAGAGTTTCAGCATAGCCGCCGAAGTCAAAGCCTGTATTGGCTCTTTCGTGGATATGTGTGACCAGTCCTTTGAGTGCAGAGCGATCGAGAGGCTTGAGAGGAGAGTTCGTGATGAAATAGATTTCCTTGCAAACTTGAGCGAGTTCTCCGAGAGCAAAGAGTACATAACGGCTAAGACGACCTTTTGGATTAAAATGTAAATAAAGTGCAAGACGCGCAGACATGAGGTTTTTCCATTGTTTAGCTACTCTTTTTGGCGGACCTTGATGAATAGCGTGACCAGTACCACGAGACCGTTTCTTGGAGTTTCTCTTCGAAGGAGCTTGTTATCGAAAAACCGAGCTGTGTTTGGATCTTATGATTATCAATCGCGTAACGTCGATCATGACCGGCACGATCCTTGACGAAGGTTTGAAGAGCTTCATACGAAGTTCCCCCTCTTCGTGGAAAAAGACGGTCCATGCAGGAACAAAGAAGGTTCAGGAGTTCGAGGTTGGTTTTTTCATTTTGACAACCGACATTATAGGTCTGACCACTCGTCCCCCGATGGAAAATAAGATCCACAGCACGTACATGATCCTTGACGTAGAGCCAGTCGCGGATGTTTTTTCCATCACCATAAATGGGGATTTCCTTTTCTTCAAAGCAGCTGCGGATCACGGTGGGGATGAGTTTTTCATCATGTTGGCGTGGTCCGTAGTTGTTGGAACAATTTGAGATGGTGAGATTCATTCCGAAGCTATGATGATAGGCTCGCGCAAGAAAGTCACTTGAAGCCTTGCTCGCAGAATAGGGAGAGTTTGGTTGATAAGGGCTTTCTTCGGTAAAGAGTCCATAAGGACCCAGAGAACCATAGACTTCATCTGTAGAGACGTGATGGAATCGTGCTTCCTTGAGCCAATTTTGTTTTTCCCAGTAGCGACGTGCTACTTCAAGGAGTGTATAGCTTCCGAGGATATTGCTATGCACGAAAGCACCAGGATCTTTGAGTGAGTTATCCACATGGGACTCTGCTGCAAAATGCATCACGGCGTTGATGGCGTATTTTTCGAAGGTTTCTCGCAGCAGATCACTCTGGGTGATATCGCCATGGACAAAAACATAACGATCAAAACGTTCTGCTTCTTTTGTATTTTCAGGATCCGCAGCATAGCTCAGCGAGTCAACATTGACGACGAGATAGTCAGGATACGTTTCGAGAAGATAATCGAGCATATGCGATCCGATAAAACCCGATCCTCCTGTGACAAGGATGCGTCGAGAATAAGGGTGAGTTGAGGTAATCATTTTGATTGTTCTCCTTTTTCTTGTTGAAGATGCTTGATGACAAGCTCGAGGGACTCCATCCAATGGGGGACATCCGTTTTGAAGGTATTTTCTATTTTTTCTTTACTCAGCACGCTATATGAAGGTCGCACAGCACGGCTTGGAAAATGTCCCGTAGGGATTGCTTTCACGGTATTTTTTGATCCGCAAAGTTTGCGGATCGCCACAGCGAAGTCATACCATGAAGCCACTCCTTGGTTACTGTAGTGGTAGAGTCCAAAGGGGAAGCTTGAAGGGTCCTTTTGGGACTGCTCGTGGAGCGAGAGGAGAAAACGGGCTAAATCCAGCGCGCTTGTGGGACTTCCGATTTGGTCGCAGACGACCTGCAAGCCTTGCGGACTCTCGATGCGCGAAAGGATCGTTTTGACAAAGTTATTTCCGAAAGGTGAATACAGCCACGATGTGCGGATAACACAAGCCATCGGGTAAGCAAGAACATAGCGTTCACCGGCATATTTACTTTGACCATAAACGCCGAGAGGATTCGTAGGACTCTCTTCATGATAAGGCCTAGAGGCTGTTCCATCAAAGACGTAGTCGGTCGAGATGTGAAAAAGAGGGATGTTCCTTTTTTCACAGAGGCTTGCGAGAAGCTTTGGAGCTTCTGCATTAAGCGCATAAGCGAGTTCTTTTTCTTCTTCAGCACGGTCAACAGCGGTATAGGCCGCCGCATTGATGATGGCCGTAATAGGATATCGCTTAAAGAACAGCTCGAGTGCTGCCGAAGATGTGATATCGAGTGTATCTCGGTCGGTCCATAAGAAATTGGGATCATGACCTTTGAACATGGCTAGGGACTGACCTAGTTGTCCTTGGCTTCCAAGGATGAGAGTCATCGAAGTTCCTCTTGATTTTCTTCTTGGTGATATTCCCGCAGACTCGGATGCTTGCGGTCTTTCTCAGAGACAAGGATGTCTTTCTCTTCGAGTCCCCAGGGGATACCGAGTTCGGGGTCGCAATAAAGAATACCTCCGTCATGGTCTGGGAAATAGGGTTTTGAACATTTGTAGGCGAAGAGCGCTTCTTCACCAAGAACACTAAAGCCATGAGCACAGCCTGGAGGAACAAAGAGTTGTTCCTGTTTATCTTCACAGAGATCGACGAAGAGATGTTGGCCATAGGTCGCCGAATCCTGACGCATATCGACGATAACGTCACGCACACGTCCTCGAAGAACACGAACCAATTTTGCTTGAGCCCAGGGATCTTTTTGAAAATGAAGCCCACGAAGAGTACCATAACTGGAACGAGACTCATTTTCTTGGACGAATGAGATTTGTAGATAGTCAGAGATCGCATGATTGTAAGTCTCGAGGAAGTATCCTCGTTGATCACGCCAAACTGGAGGAGAAAAAAGAACAACTCCAGGAATAGAGAGTTCTTCCACTTGAATGCCGTAAGCATAAAGATTGAATTTTCTTTTCAGTAAGAGCCAGTTTTTCTCCTCGCATGTGGACAAATCAGCTTCGATCGGAAAAATCGACCATAAAGCAAAAAATGCTTCGGATTTTTTCCAAGATCTGTCTTCGAGGAGGCTTTGATAGAAAGAGAGGAATTCATGAAAAGCCGTGAGTTCTTGAAAGCTTAGACGTTTTTGGCGTTCAATGAAATGACGCATTCCAAGAAAGACTATTTCAAGAAGAGCCAGAGAGCGTCGATCATCGGCACTTTTAAAGAGTTGAATTCCTTTCACATCTGGGTGGAGTAAGGCGATGATTTTATTTGAAGATCTTATTCGATGTTCCTTGACTTTTCGGGAAAAACTTCCTGCATCTTCGTGCCAACAGTAGAGGTTGATTGCTTCTAAATGAGACCAACCTTTTTTCAGTCCTCGCAGACACCATTCGGTTTCTTCTCCGTAGCCCTTGCCAAAAAGAGAAGAAAAAGGTCCGATTTTTTGATAGGCTTCGTGATTGACGGCCATCATATAGCCGACAGAGATTGGAGTCTCAACGTAAGAGTCCTCGGGATGAAGATGTGAAGCGAGGGCATCCATCATAAAAACAGTCTTTTTGTTAAAAATTTCTCCCCCAAAAGGCGTCTGTCTGGCATAGGTAAAGACGGTTTGAGAGCCTCCATAGACACTGGCGATACGCTGCCTTTGGGTAACAAGCGGATAGAATAGCCGCGAGAGCCAATTGGCAGGAAGGATGATGTCTGTATTCAGCCAGACGAAATCATTTTTCGCCAAAGCGGAAGCTTTATTGACCGAAGCAGTAAAGCCGAGATTTTTTTGATTTTCAAGAACGTGCATGCTGACTTCAGGATGTGCATCTTGCCATTCTTCGAGAAAAATCTTAATACGAGGATCCGTGCTGGCGTCATTGATAATGATGAGATCATAGGGAAGGTCACTCCCGCTATAGAGCGTTTCGAAAAGTCCTGGAAGATGCCGAAAGCCGTTATAGATAGGAATAATAATACTCACACGGTAGTCTGCAGGGAAAGAGTCCCGTAGAGACGGTGGCGTATCAAGCAAGCGAAGTCGAGGATACTTTCCATTGAGCTCATGATTCCAGCAGTGAAGAGTGAAGTCGATAAAACAATTGGACAAGCGGTATTCAAGAGGACTGATATATTTTCTGATCAAAAAAGAAGCTCTCAGTCGACCCAAGAGAGGTCTCGATGCTCTGAGACAAAGATGAGCAAAAGAAAAAATAAAAAAACGGAACTGCAGGTACCACAAACCCTTTCGAGAAGCAATACGTGGGTAATTGAGTTCCTTCATGGTGGAAGAAGAACGATGTGACATAAGAGATCCTTTTACGGTGTGTGTCTTTTGAGTACTTTATGGAGATATTTTGCATAAGCAGATCCCCCGAAGGTGGACGTATAGTCTTCGAGTTGTTGACGACTGATCCAGCCGTTTTGAAAAGCGATTTCTTCAGGACAGGCAATTTTCTGTTGGGTGCGGCGCTCTAAGCTGGCGATAAAATTCGATGCTTCAAGGAGGTCATCATGTGTCCCCATGTCGAACCAGGCGAAACCACGTTCTAGGCGGCTTACGTGGAGCTTGCCTTCTTCGAGATAGAGTCGGTTGAGATCTGTAATCTCAAGCTCGCCTCGTGCCGAAGGCAGCAGATTGGCCGCCTTCTCAACTACGTCTGAAGGATAGACATAAATTCCAGGCACAGCATAGCTTGATCGAGGATGTGGAGGTTTTTCCTCGAGACTGCATGCACGAGAGTTTTCGTCAAATTCAATGACGCCATAGTTTTCTGGATGAGAAACCTGATAAGCAAAGACAACGGCGTTGTCCTCACGCTCGACTCTCTGGATGGACTCCTTGAATAAGGTACTCAGATCGTGTCCCCAGATAAGGTTGTCTCCAAGGATGAGGGTGACATTGTCAAGACCGACGAAGTTCTTGCCTAAGATAAAGGCCTCGGCGAGTCCGTTGGGATGCTCTTGTACGCAGTACTCGAAGTGCATTCCTAAATGAGAGCCATCCTTGAGGAGCTCTTGCATCAAGGGCGTATGTTGCGGAGTAGAAATAATCAGAACATCACGGATACCTCCGAGCATCAGCAACGATAGCGGATAATAAATCATCGGTTTATCGTAGACACACATGAGTTGCTTTGATAAAGCGAGAGTTGCCGGATAAAGCCGTGTTCCGGAACCTCCTGCGAGAATGATTCCTTTCATGAATGACTCCTTGGTGATTTTTCTCCTATTTTGATATAGCTGAGTCCGGCTTGATGGACCTGGTTTTCGTGCAGGCAATTACGACCGTCAATGACAAGAGGATTGCGAAGAGACTCTTTGATACGATGAGGACTAAAGTCCTTAAATTCCTGCCAAGCGGTAACAATCAGAAGCGCGTCTGCATCAAGGAGTGCATCTTGAGCACTTTGAGCATAGCTTAGACGTTCGCTGGGAGGAAAAATTTCCATAAAATCTGGCATGGCTTGAGGATCATAGACCTTGAGGATAGCTCCTTCCTCGAGGAGATGTGATACGAGAGTGAGGCTGGCGGCATCACGAATATCATTGGTTCCTTCTTTGAAGCTGAGTCCCCAGAGGCAGATTTTTTTTCCAAGAAACGATCCTAGAGCCTTTTGGACCCGATGGAGAATATGCTTAATACGGTCGGCATTGATGTGTTCAACGGCTTCGAGGAGTTCCGTTTTCACACCAAAGTTCCGAGCGGTTTGCATGAGGCCTTTGATATCTTTAGGGAAACAACTGCCTCCATAGCCAAGTCCGGCTTGCAGAAAGAGTCGTCCGATGCGTGGATCAAGTCCCATACCAAGGGCGATATCACTAATACGGCCTCCGGCATTTTCGGCGATATCCGAGATCATATTGATAAACGAAATCTTGGTCGCTAAAAAGGAATTCGATGCATATTTGATTAGTTCCGCACTGATGGTATCCGTGAAAAGAAGAGGAAAGCCCTCTTTGATCCAGCTTTGGTAGATTTCCTCGAAGAGTGTGCGCCATTGATTTTGATCGCATCCGACGACGATGCGGTCAGGATGCATAAAGTCCTCGAGAGCAACGCCTTCTTTGAGAAACTCAGGATTGCTAGCTAGGGTGAATTCGAGATCATGCGGACTATGTCGGCGCATAAGCTGACTTAAATGATGCGCTGTGCCAACAGGAACAGTTGATTTGCTGACAATGATTTTTGTTGTCTGGCTACAACGGGCGATACTGATGGCTGCATCCTCGACTTGCGAGAGATCAACATCTCCATTGGGCAACGAAGGTGTTCCGACGCAGAGAAAAATGACGTCACTATGCTCAGAGGCTTCCTCAATGGAAGAAGTAAAACGCAGTGTTCCTTGGCTGAAAACTTCAGAGAGTACCTCATCGAGGCCCTTTTCATAGATGGGACTTTGTCCTTTTTCCAGTATAGCGAGTCGTGAGGGATTCTTTTCAACACAAAGAATACGATGTCCTACGCGTGCAAGACAGGCAGCTGTAATCAGACCGACATAACCAGCTCCGATAATAGAAATTGTCATTTTTCTAGCTCCCTATCCTTGTAGTCCATTACATAGATGCCCAGTCTACTACGTCTTTTCAAGGAAGTCTAGAGATCTTGTCGAAGAAACAAAGGTGTGCTAGCTTTTGTCCTTCATCTTGCTGCGATGAGGATATTTTCAAAAAAGAGAGAGCCGATGAAGACAGATTTTTATTTAAGCCCACTTGTATGGGGAACATGGCATTTAGCAAAGAGTCCGCAACTCTATGAGGACGAGCGTGCTTTGGCACGTTTTCTGGAACTTTGTTTTGAAAATGGAATTACCAGCTTTGATACAGCGGATATTTATGGTTCGTATCAGGTTGAAGAACGCCTCGGTAAAGCTTTGCGTGAATTACGGATTCCGCGAGAGAACTACCAGATCATCACTAAAGCCAATATTGTTAAAGACCATCCTGATTTTCCACAGTTGGCCGGGATATTGCATTATCATTCTAGTCCGCAGTATCTGCGTCACGCTATTGAGCGTTCGTTACGCCTTCTGGGACTCGATTATCTGGATGTCTTTCTGATTCATCGTGTGGACTATCTCCTAGAAGCTCCTCGTCTGACTGAAGTACTCAATGACTACGTCAGCAAAGGTCGCATTAGGCATATTGGTGTGTCCAATCAAGTTCCGGCAACGATTGACTATCTCAACGCGTATCTCGACAAAAAGATCGTGACTAATCAGATTGAGTTTTCCTTACGCCATCTTGAACCACTCGATGACGGATCCTTGATGCATTCGATGATGCATGCGTATTCGATGATGTATTGGTCTCCTCTGGCTAGTGGAACTCTCTTCGATGATCCTCGTCTGATGGCAGTTCTCAAGGACTTAGCGCAGGTTTATGGACTCCCCTGTGAAGGGACACTCGCTTTGGCATGGCTTTTGCGTCATCCTGCTGCGGGACATTGCGTCATTGGGACGAATAATCCCCAGAGGATCAAGAATTACGTCCAAGCAGCGGGTGTGCGTCTTGAAGCACATGACTGGTACCGCATCCTTGCTGCGGCAGGAAAACATCTTCCTTAGTGCGTGTTGGATAGCTTTGGGGTTTTGTAGGCGCCACTTGAATAGGTCAGTTCATAGCTATGTGAATAGATTTCAAGAATATTGCCAAAAGGATCCTCGCAGTAGACCATACGATAGGGCTTTTCTCCAGGATAATAGTAGTGTACTTGTGTGCGTTGCTTTCCTCCTGCCTCGACGATCTTTTTGAGGAGTCCTTCCAGATCGGGATCCTGTACGCAAAAGTGGAAAAGTCCCGCTTGGGTATAGTTGAAATGATTGTGTGGAGCTTTTCCTTCGGGGAACTCAAAAAGCTCTATACCAATTTTATCTCCCGTGGAAAGATGCGCAATGCGGAAACTTTGCCATGAAGTTCCAAAGACATCGCTACACATCAGTCCAATAGGACTCTCGTCACGGAGGATGCGTGTGGCAGGCATGATTAAATACCATCCAAGGACTTGGGTATAAAACTCAACGGCGCGATCGAGATCGAGTACGCTTATTCCTAGATGGGAAAATGTTCGTGGATAAGACATCAAGAATTCCTTCATCAAAGAACTTTTTAAACTTAATCCTACATTCTAATCTTTGAGAAAATTTTGCCAAGCTACCCAAATGGGCTTTTTTTATCAAAATTTCCTTAACTTCTTTATTTAATAAGTAAATATTGTCTCAATTCACTATGAATTTTTTTTCTAATTTTTTACTATTACAGAGAAGGGTTTTCTTTTATTTAAAAACGAGGAGTCATTATGTCCGATTTATTTCTCAAAAAGTATCCAATCAAGGGAGCTTATCAATGCTTGATTCATCAGTGGTGGCTTGAAGAAGCTCGTCCTTCTGAGAGGAGGCTTTCTTATCTTGCGCATGGACTCGGATTAGGACTCGCTTTTCATACCCTTCCTGCACGTCTACACGCTCAATTGCATAAGGATTCCGCCTATTTGATCATGAATGCACAGCAGAGTCCCTCTTTTCAACGCTTTAACTTAGCACTTGTCTTGGGACACCTCTTTCTTGAGCATGAACTTCCTCCATTTTCTTCATGGCCTCTGGATGTTTTTCATGCACACCATGGTCTTCAAAAATACCAACGGGAAGCTCAGCGCTTCGCTATGGATCTTCTTCTTCCTCCGCGAGAACTGCGTCGGCAAAAAAATCAATACCTGAAACAAGGCTCAAACCAAATCATTGAGGATCTTGCTAGATATTTTGAAGTTCCACCTCTCTTAGTTCGTTTGCGCTTGAGTTTTCCATAGTTTAAGAAGACCTTGAGCTATTGGAAGCATTGCTTGTTTCAAGGATTTTGCGATCATAGATTCGGATAAAGGGCCAATAGATCAAGCCAACGACGACGAGATTAAAGCTAGAAAGAACAATAGCACGCCAATCGCCTCCGCTTGCCAAAAAAGCACCTAAGGGAAAGGGAGCCGTCCAGGGAGCTAAAATCACAATCGGATTAACCCAAGACCATGTGATGGCTGCATAGCTGATGAGAGTTGTCAGAAGAGGACCAAGAATAAAGGGGACAATGAGAATAGGATTGAGCATGATAGGCAAACCAAAAATAAGCGGTTCGTTGATGTTAAAAATCGATGGAGCTAGACTAAGTTTGCCAAGTTGCCGCAATGACGGAGCTTTCGCATAGAGCAGGAGTATGCAAAGACTTAACGTAGCTCCTGATCCTCCGATCCAGATGAACCATTGATAGAAAGGTTCTGTTGCGACGTAAGGAATAGGATTGCCCTCAACGAGGGCTTGGGCGTTACTATCGAGCATTTCAAGCCATAAAGGACGCATCAAAGAGCCAATGACAGAAACGCCGTGAATACCTGCTGACCAAAGCACTGTGACAAGAAACACCACGAGGAGTACACCCCAGATGCTATCGAGTCCGATAATAAAAAAACTAAAAAATGAGCCGACCAGGGAATGAAGACGTACTTCAAAAACATCAAGCAAAAACCAAAGACTGATCATGATCAAGGCTGCAGGAATAATGCTCTCAAAGGATCGGCGTACTGAATCAGGTACGCTGGCAGGAAGTCCGATGATCAGACGTTTTTCACGCAAAAATCGCCAGATTTCAATGGCGAAGATCGAGGTAAAAAACGCCACAAAAATCCCTGCTCCTCCGCTGAAGTCCATAGGGATACTCAAGCTACGTCCTTCTTCGATGGCTCGGCGGATGCTTGTATAGTCGAGCAGTGTCATCATAAAGGCTAAAACAGAAAGAGTCGCACCTGTGCTGGGGTCAAGCTTATAGGAACGTGCTAATGAAGCTCCCATGTTCAAGGACGCATAAATGGCAAGAAGACCCATGCTCACCCGAAAGGGAACAAGCAGAAGATGGACGTTTTCACGTACCCAGGCAAAATAGGGCCAGCTCCAAAGCCCGCTATCGGCTGGAATCGGAGGAAATGCCAGAATCAGAAAAAGGCTCCCGACAATCGTCATGGGAATAACAGCGACCATCCCGTCACGAATGGCTCGGAAATAACGCTGCTCAGAGAGGCGTGCGAGAGGCATGGTGAATACACGATCGAAGAATTCAAAAAAGTGATTCATGCTCATGTTTTTTCTCCTTTTGGTTTATGGATCAAGTGATTAAGCTATAGACCTATAGGCCTTGTTCATATCTCTGAGGCAAGTTTGATACGGAATTTATCCCAAGCGCCGACGGATTCGAGAAGAAAATGCTGATCTTCTTGGATGTGTCCGACTACATTGCTACGACCTGAATTGGGCATTTCTTGACGCACAAGCTGTAGTTCGCCTGCATAGTGTCCGTAGAGCGAACTCTCAATAATGATATCACCAACGTGCAGCGTCGGAGGCGCATGGAAAATCTTGAAATCATGTCCTTTGTATTTAACACGGCTTTGTGTTGAGCGAATAAGCGCTTCGTTAATATCGCCACGATTGAAATGCAGTTCCTCGAGGACAATCGCACGTTCAACGGCAGGAATGCGCTCATGGAGTGTGGCTTCAAAGTGGATCATATAAGGGTCAAGTGAGCTCAAAGAACGCAGTTCCTCTGTGCTGGGATAGCAGTTGCTGATGATGACGTCATCGATAAGTCCGCTGGCAAAGAGGTCTTGAGCCTGGCGTCGTATAGACCAGTCCCGATGCTCTTCGAGGGTACAGAGTCCGTCACTCACAGGCCAGGGACCAAAGGTCGCCACCTGGGAATTGACAAACGCGGCCGTACGCAAACCATGCTTCTTGAAACGTCGTGAGCAGGAAAGAAAATGTTCACGCGGCGCCGCAGTATATCGGTGTGGATAAAAATTATGACAAGCCCATAAAAGATCTGTCTTTGGTTTAAAGTCCATGACCATATCGACGTAATGCGTGTCGGAATACATATTGAGTTCAACGATCAGTTGATGAGGATTAAAGGTCATCAAACTCTCTTCGATACCAGAAAAACCAAGATCAAGACGGAATCCTGCAACACCTAAATCAGCGAAGAAACTCAGGTCCTTATAGCTGATGCCGAGACGATCAAAAATAGACGGCGCGACATCGACAATGGTCACGATGCCGAACTTATTCGCATGCTGCACCGTTTGTTTCAGATCAGAGATCATTTCGTCAGCACGTGTTTCCTCGAGTGAGATCAGACAGGTAAAAGCACGACGGAAACCCAACGACGCGGCTTCTTCTATATAATCGAAGTTTTTTTTGAGGTCAGAATGACCAGGATAGAGGGAAATCCCAAGACTGCGTTGATGAAGCATAGAGCTTATTTCTCCTTATTGATTCAATGTTTTTCAGTTTGTTTGATCGTGGAAAGAGCTTGCTCGTAGAGCAGACTTCCTCCTAGAGGCGAATAGGCTTGAGGGGCGATGAGGGCACACGGGATGAGGCTTTCTTCGCAGAATTTTTGAATTTCCGCGAAGCGATGACGAATCTGGGGTGCGACAAAAACGACGTGATAAGGATTTTCTTTGAGTTTTTCCTCGACTTCAAAAGAGCCG